CTCTTTTTTTCCTCCGCGTGGTTTTGGTGTTTTTTTTGTTGTTTTTATTTTTTTTTTTTTAAAAAAAAAAAAAAAAAAAAAAAAAAAAAGAAATAAAAAATTATAAATTATAAATTTCTTTCTACTTCACCATTGTATACCACTTTGTGTTGGTCTTTCACAAAAAATTCTTATTTGATATATTTAAGTTTGTGATTGTAATGTGACAAAATATGGAAAAGTTCAATGGGGTGTGAATACTTTTGCAAACCACCGAACGTCCCAGAGAGCAACAGACATGGACTTCCTGTTATTTCTCCAACCTCTAATCAGCAGCTCATTGGCTGAGAGTTGGTCAGACGTTTCTGCCCTGCAGGAATACGATTCTGGTTGGATAAGGAATCAGAACATTAAGCTTCGGTGTCCATCCTCACAAAAGTTTATGGATTTTGTTGAAAAGCTGCATCTGCACTGCGATACAAACCTGTTTACATGAACTCTACCAATACTGATTATAAGAGAGGTGAAACGTTTAGACAAAAATCACGTCAGGGTCTCGATAATGGTTTCTCTGCAACTTGCCAAGAGACATTTTAATTCAAATTCAAAAATACTTTATTGATCCCAAAGAGAAATGAAATGTTGCTGTAACTCATATTAATTCAAATTAATAATTTAATGGAAACTTATTGAGCCTACACATATCACTTTGATCCACAATAAATTGAAAACTGTACATCTAACAACTGGCAAAAAAAAGTCTGACATTTTGAATTATATAATTGTTAAAACAAAAAAAGCTAAACTCCCAAATTAGCATGACATTCCTGCTGATTGTGTTTGTGTAGAGGCTTCTGCTCTAACCTGTACATACAGGCTGAGCTAGGAGTAAAGAAAAGCTTGTAATTATGGAAAGTTTGTTGTATTTATATAATAACACATATCCTCATAAGCAAACAACAGGCGACTTCAGCCACTTGAAGCCTTTCCATAAATTCTTGACTTTCAAGTAATTTTTCAGGACATTGACAATGTTCTTAGATATGCCTGGATGTCAGGACAGCATCACAGAAAAAAAACAACAACAAAAAAACAAAAAGGCAAATTTAGAGTAATGCGTTTAACGATGCCAAACTTTGGTTGGGTGAAAAACTGCTGCCAATAGCACAGAAAAAACGAGACTAAAAAAAAAAAAAAAAAAAAAAAAAAAACTCCACACCACTGGGCTGACACAGAGTGCCGCTGAAGGCATGATGGAAAACGGACAAATAAACGACACCATCAAAAACAACAACAGTAAAGTAATTGGCCAGCAGTTAACTGCACAACCGGCGAAACGGCACAGACACCACCAGCGCCACGAGCTCGGAGTCTCCACACACAGAGGCAGTTGTGCAGACGTGTTTTCACAACTGCTCGACTCCAGAGCTGTGATGACTTAAAAAACAAAACAAAAACAAAAAAAACGATATCAGAGAAGATATCATTTCCAGTCATCACTCTCACGGTGACAACAAAAACAAAATCACAGACGAACGAGGTACGACTCGAGGAGACCACAACATGATGCACAGATGTTGCGGTGGTACACTTCAATACCTCTGGTGGGCAAAGTTGGAGGAGTAGGCGCCCTCTGAATAGGCACGGGTCATCCGAGTGGAACGCAGTAACCTGACTGCTTCCTCTCTGCAGATTGGGTACACGCCGTGGTTGCGGCTGGCAAAAAAATACGGTATAAAATAAGCGTTCAATTTAATTTTTTTTCACCCCTTCTACGCACACATATCATACATTACTTATGGATTTCCATTAGAGACATCAGTCAAAAACTGCAGGTTTATCCGATTACACGGATAGAGAATCAAACGCATCTGTGCTAGGGGAACCCCCTCTACTGGACAAAACGCCACAGGCGCACTTTCACAACCTTCGTTTTTACTGACAACGGCGTGCGGGAAAACGCCCCGCAGCGTGTGTGTCAAGTGTGAAACAACCAAATGAAAGCAGGAGGCACCTTAAGGTTTGTGGGTGGAGAACTAACAGAGGATGTGTCGACAAGAGGCTTCATGCAAACTCAGACAAAAGTATACCTGAGGTCCCTGTGAGGATCGCCAGCAGGCTGAGTGTGTCTGGTTCGAGGTAAGGTGAGAAAATGGCTGCAGACACATGGAGGAAGGAGAGAAGACAGAGATGGATCGGACATGGTGAGGAAGAAGAGGAGAGGCGACGATGAAGGCAGAAGGAAAGAGGAGAGGAAGTTTGGAAGACAGAAAGAAAAATCATGGGCGGAAAGACAGAGTATAGAGAGCTGAGGAGTAAAGGTCTGCCAAAGATGGAATTTGAAGACGATAGAAATGGGCTTCGTAGATGTGCGTATATTTTTGTTGTCAAAGGTGGATAAAAACTCAAAGAAAGCTGAGGGAAGGACAGGGAGGAGTCCTAAAAATTAGAAGGAGCTAACACTACTTAAGGCTGCAGTAGAGAGTTCTGAGAAAACCTTAAACTTAGCCTGAAAGTTTGAACAAGCACACCTTAAAGGCCCCTCCCCCTTTATCTCCGCTGCACTACAGCTCCTCCCCCCACAGTGGAGCCCGTCGAGAACCCGACTAATGGGAATTTTTCCTGTAACGTTAGCTTACGCTAGTCATTAGCTTGCTGGTCTCTAGGAAAGCAGCAGCACACAGGCAGTCCTGAGTTTGAACGCGTTGAAAGTGACTGAGATGTCCCTCCTGGCTCTGATAGGTTGTTTCTGACTGGGAGCAGCACATTTATGCAAATGGCAGCTCGATTTTCTTCGCAGATTTTATGCCTCACATTCCATGTCAGGACATGGTCACAGTTTTAGCAAAAAGTTCCCTACTGCAGCTTTGACACCAGTTCTACAAAAGGAGTAGGCGGGGCGGCACACTTCAAAGACATGAACTGGTCTAACGTCACCAGGGTCATCACATGAGTGTTTTCAGAAAACACTTTCAAGCCAGTTCTGAGGCCCTATGTCATCATGTCGGTGTGGATTACATAAGCACCAAGGCACCTGGAGGCCATGGCAGTCAGACGTAAGGTTGGTGAGCAGGTAGAAGAGTGTACAAAGAAAATGGTTTTCTTTTGAAACCAAAAATGTTGCAGTTCATTGACTTTTGTCAAAGCAAGGGTCCGCTCTGAAGAAGACTGCTTCCCCTTGAAGCCACATTGTAGAACAGTCACTTCAGCTTCAGAACATCAAAAAGCAAGAATGAAAGATAAAAGGACATACATTCGAAAATAAATAAATAAATAAATAAAATCTTGTAAAAATCTTTAAAATCCAGTCAGGGAATTCTTCCTTTAATACTGTAGGTGCTCTGACTGAGACGCGGCCAAATTCAGCGTGACTCATTTTCAGTGTCATTTTCAACAGTTTTAAATAAATTACCAGATGCTGTTAATTAAAGCAGATGGAATACACTCAAGGAAGTGCTCTCCCAGACAATTTAGATAAGTGCATTTTCTGTATCAGACACTGATTTAGGCTGAGCCTTTGAAATAACAAATAAAGTTGATTGGCCGGGGGGGGGGTGGTTAGTAGCTGCAGCCCAGCGGTGCCAAAGCCGTGATTGGACTCTTGGATGGACATTTTCCGACCCAACAAAAAAATAAAAAAAATAAGAAGTCGAACAGAATAAGTGCTGGTGGAGGATAACTAATAATGGCATCTTCTATAAAGAGGGTGAAATACATGTCAGCACTATATAGTTTACTCAGCATTTACTGCAAATGATCACAGTGTAGAATGAGATCAAAATTGCTTTCAAGGAGAGGGAAAAAAATGCTTTACCGGCAAATTGAAATCATAAAAAAAAAGCAGAACATATACATTTTTGGCAAAAATTTTGTCAACTCTGTTCAAAAGTGAAGCAACCTTTAGGTTTTTGTGGCTAAAAGGAGGGGAGAGCAGAAGCAACTATTTATTTTAAACAACCCAGAATATTCATATCTACAGAAGAAGATAAAGGTCACTGTAAAAAAAAAAAAAAAATCTGACTTTTTTTTCTCAGAATTCTAACTTTTCATTTCAGAAAATCAAAGTTCTCTTTCTTTCAGTGGCCTTGACTTTTTATTTCAGAATTCTGACTTTAATATTCAGACATTAAAGTCAGAATTTTGAGGAAAACGTCAGAATTCTTTGCTCTTTTCTTTTTCGGTCGCCCAATCCTCTTCCATACATATATTTATGTAAAGACGTTGTGTCTTTGGAAAGCATAAAAAGTCAGTATTATATTCAATGTTCGTTTTCTCTTAAGAAGAATGCATTAAGATTTCTGAGCTGGTCAGTAGACATCATTCACATCACAAATTGTCCCCCTACTGTCCAATAAGCATCTTATTGATTTTAAAATGTCACTTTGCATTGCGCAGGCACAGCGGTGTACTTACACATCACTAGAGACAGAGCAGTGCTTAGAAAGGTGAGTCAAATAGGTGACTGAAAGTTTCTTGAACCTCCCTAACCCTGAAAAAAATCACTCCTGAAAATGTCCAAGACACAAAATAAGAATGCAAAATAGTTCAAAGTAACGCATATTTGACTGGAACAAACATAAACCAAAACAAACCCTCAACTTTATTTCTTTAAAACAAGGGCGGTCGTTCAGTTTAATGATCTCTGGTTACCTGGAGGGTGGGGGAACACTGGGAGAGCGCGACCGGGCCCGGTTTATGTCCGCAGACCGGGAGCAGTGGTTAGACGACATCATCTGCTCTGGGACGGACAGCGTGGAGCTCCGGAAGTCTCTTCCATTTGGCCGATAATCTGGAAAAAACAAAAACATACAGCCGGAATTACAGAGGGGTGATAAATGGATCCACAGCAGTTCAGCAAAACTTTTAGAGATACTTAAATACACACATTCCACAAAAACACTACATCTTACAGAGTACTTTTAGTCTAGTTTCTAGTGCAGATATCTCAGTACACTTGAATTAAGACTTTTTATTTTTGTGTTTTTACGACGTCAAGAACTTAGAACTATCTTGTTATTCAAATGACTTGAAATGAAACAAAACTAACTTACAAGTAAGTTTTCAGCAAGATATAGCATCTTGGCAAATGTAGTTTCAGATTATTTCATTTAAAACAATGTCATAAGTGAAATAATCTGCCAGTGGAACTAATTTTTTCCATCAATATTAAGGAGTTGTTAAGTTAAAACAAGCTCCTTCTTGCTGAAAAGTGACCTCTAAGTTTGTTTTGCCATGTTTCAAGTGCGCTAAAATATCAGCACCTGAAACTGGAAGAAAAATACTTGTTAAGATTTTGGGGGGTTTTTTTTCAGTGCATTATGTTTTCATCTATTTAATCTGAATGTTCACGATAAAGGATCGTAAAATCAAACCGACACACTACCTACCATAAGTTAGTAGAAGCCAAACTAAAAGCCATTCTGCAACAGCTCCAGCTTCTTTATTCTCCAAATGTCAAGTTGCTTTTATTCCGAGAATGAAAGTGCTACCTTTCAATAAAAGTGCATATTATCTGCTGTGTTAACATTGTTCATTAAACATGAAAATAGCCTTTTAAAAATCCGAAACATAATAACGATTTTTTTTTCTTTTCTTTTCTGCTAGACCGCTTAGTCCATTCAGCCTGAAAGAGTTCATTAACTAATAATCAGACGTGGTTAAGGTCAATGCGTAGCTCTATTAAACCTGATTTGTATTCAGCAGAGTGTGTAGCACATTAAATTAAGTTAAATCAAATCTTAAATCAAAAGTTATAAAAGCAGGAAAGATTAAAAAAAAAGGGATGTAATGTTACAAAGATATATAGAACATCACTAGAGGAACTGATTTGAAACAAACTGTTATAGTAATAGAGGGCTAAATAATTACTTTACATTTAATGAGTTTGAAATGTAAAATAATTGATTTATCCAGGTTGTACATGAATTACATTTATTCTACATATATAAGAATTAGGCAATGTCTTAACTTTAATGTTTTATTTTCCGCAAAAAGGAAAACATCTGAATTGAAGATGTGAGTCTACGGCAGCAGCAGAATAATTAATGATAAAATATTTTCTTGCTGTTGACATGCAGCTTCATGCGTGAGAGCAGGACGTCAGTCCAAAAGACTGAAACCTTTTCTGACGGTTGGTAGGATTTAACAGAAGAATGAGCCGAGTCCGTGCAGAAGGAGGACACTGGGCTTCAGGTTGGAGCAAAGAAAAATGTTTGCAAATATAAGAAAAAAAAAATCATGTTAGAAATCAGCAAATCTAAATAAGAGAGTAGATGTCAACTGATCGAATTTAGTCATGATGAATCGATTTTTGGAATAACTGTCAACTAATTTAGTAAGTGAATAATTGCTAAACTGGAGTATTGCAGACTCTGATGAAGGACGTTGGCTGGAAGAGCAACACTCAGAGCAATAATACAACCAAAACTGGACATAGAATATTTACATTTTGCCTTTAGGATGAAGAAACAATATCTTAGACTGTTAAGATGTTCTACCCAGAACTCCTCAAGTAGCAGTTTTAGCTTCATGTGGCTCAAACTGCGGAGGAAAACTTCAGACCTATCAGTTATTCTATCAATTATTAATCAGTTAATCCAAAAGGGGGAAAAAAAAAAATAATAATCAGCCGATCAGCCATACACTGTATTGATGCTAAGTCAAGTTAGCATCAAGCTAACTTGATGCATCAAGCATCAGGGTTGAGCTTTTTACATGTTGATGTTTGTCGTATTTCTTTAGCACCATTTGCTACAAATGATCAAGTGTTCACAAAAGGAATGTCGTTTTTGGACTGTAGGTAGTCTATTACTTTTTTAAAGAAGTAAATGCATCATTTGCCTTTTTATGTATTTTAACACTACAAAATGAAGTATGTGCTAAAATGAAAAATTTGCAGAAAGTGCCAATTTTTTTCTTAACAGAGTAAAGGTCAGATCAGTCGATAGAATAATCTGGAATACTTGAATATTAAAACAATTGTGAGCTGCAGCCCTAGATAGTAGCAAACCGTGTATTTATTAAGATCTGCTCCAAAGAAAGCGCCACAAAATTGAAATAATTTCCTGAAAACTAACATGAAAGTACAGCTGGACTCTGACATGGAACTCCATTCATTTCCCTGAGATCTTCACTTCACATCTTCCTCACATGTTCTCCGTCTCTGCCCATTTCCTGTCTGGTCACTGTCAATAAAGACCTCCAGCGCCAAAAAAACTCCCCAAAAGAATAGAAGAAAAATAGTAGAAAAGCAGCATCTGCGTTCAAACATCAGGGGAATGAGTGTTTCTGTCAGTGTGAATTGGCTTATGATGTAACCAAACCCTGATGAGAACGGTAAACAGACTTGATCGTGTTTTCCTCTCCGCTCACCAGAGCAAAACCAGAGTAGAGCCGTTTCTGTGTTTTCTCTGTTGCTTTCTGTCTGTCTGTCTGTCTGTTACTGGTTACTGTAACTGGGTCCCAGTCTGTGTCCAGGCCTGGTGCCTTTTCTTCTCCTCTGTGGCATACATTTCCAAATAGGGAGGTGAAACATGCCAAACAAGCCGGCAGCTCTTCCCCTCTTTCCCTCTGCTCATCAGAAGCTTTTCCTCCGATTTCTAATGAAAAACTCTTTTTGTTTCTCCTTAGTGTGTACATTTTTAAAAAATGTGCAAAAATGTGTCCAGACATTGCAAACAGGGATTTCATGTATACATCTACAGTGATGTAAGGAATCGTCAACATTTTAAATGCATGAATTTTCTTTACATTTTTACTTTCTTAGATACATATAAATGAAAAAGTTATGATTTTTGGGGGGAGGTAAAATTGAAGCATGTGCATCTTTTCTGTGATGTTCTGGCCGGTAGCAACGCTGCGTCTGGTTTTCTGCAGCAGAACAGCGACTGCAGGTCGAATGGCCAGAGTTCCTCGCTCTGCTTCTGCTGACGGGCTGCAGCTTTTTATCCTTCTAAGATACGAAAACACTGAAAAATGAAAACAGTTGATCCAACTAAAAAACAATAAAAATCGAGGTTATTTGTTTCAAAATTAAATTCAAGCAAATGTATTGGGTTTATTAAGTTGTCGTGTCAAACAAACACAAATAGATTCAATTTCAGAAACGAATTTGATTACATGTAACTATTTAACTCTTTTTTTTAATAGTTGGAGCTCCATTGTCTTTTTTCAGTGTAGACTGTAAATATGGTTCAAGTTCAATGGTCACCAGAGTATTATGTGCACCAGAATTTCCCCCACAACAGTATGATATTTCTATTTAATAAAAGTTTGATTGAAAATATAAAGATTGTTCAATGACACAATAAACCTCAGAAAATTAGACCGCTCATCCAAACTGGCTCCATCCATCTCAGCTCTGATGTGTTGTGATTTATTATTAATGTGCCCTAGCTGCTTACCTGTTATAACACCCACTCCGTCTTCACAATCATAGTCTGATATCTCGCTGTCACTTATCCTCTGGGATCCTTCAGAACACAGACACAAACAGAGAAGGTTAGAAGAAACAAAAAGAGAAAAAAGGTTCACTCTGTAGACAAAGTGTATTTTATCTAGTCAGGCCTCAGTGGTAGGTGGAAGCACCTCTGCTGTAAATCTGAAACACATATCACCTCCAGACCTCCATCACCTTCAAGAGAGGATTCCTCTGAACGAACTCACACGACCTCACCAGGTGGGCAGAAACAGTGGAGCTCTGCTGCTGGCTTTCTTGCTATTATTGTCATAAAAATGCAGCACAAAGACGGAGAAGTTGGCTCTTATTTATCGAACCCCAGCTTTAACGTCAGGTCAAGTCAAAGTTTAGTGCATTTAAAAACAGCAACAGTTGTCCAACCTGCTGCACAAAGCTTCAAATCAGCTGGATGTAATGCTCAAACAGAATCACCTTCTGGTTTGAGAAAAGATCTAGAAATGTCTCCACAGTTGAGCCTTAATGCTCTGGCTGCAACATCATCCTAGTCAAATTTGTTTTCAAGTGTAAAGCAAAAAAGTTTGGAAATCCTTTAAATTTACAAATGCAGTTAAAAATTAAACATTTTCAACAAGTTTCTTTCAATGAATTTGCATAATTTGCTGAATTTTGCCTGACTTGTTTTATTTTTTCCTCTTGCCTTCCTCACAGAAACCTCGCTCTCTTGTTCCCCAATGTCTTTGTTAACTTCACATGCTTCAAGTAAAGTTTCAATAATCTCTCTTGGAGGTGAAGGTGTGAATAGATTACATATGAGAGAGAGAGAGAGAGAGAGAGA